GTATAGCAATAAAACCGCCATTTTGGTAAATAAATAAATAAATGAGTAATTAATGGCGATACATGGTTGCGTCCGTTCGGCGTGGCATACGAATCTCTGCATTATACAAATAAACATCGCTCAAAATGTTCGTACTGTTTTTGTGCTGTAGCAATTAGTGGCAAGTAGGTAGGTCTCATGCACTCAGTATGTAAAATGGGAAAGCTAGTGGCTCAAGTGGACTCGTCAGCTGCGAATACGCCTTTTACGTTAGTACATACGTCCAATTACTAGCATAATAGCACTTGTTAGCCAACCTATATATGTTAAGTGAGGAGTGTCGATTATGCCAATTGCTTTTACGTGCAAAAATAATAGCCTATGGCTTCTACGCGACAGTAATATGGCTATTATATTAAGGTTAATATTCTCGAATATTAAAGACGACATTATAAAATTATTTTCAAGTTAAATGCAGGAATTTTATAGGAGTTCGTTCTGTAATTGTGCGATTTTATATAAACGGCGCGACTGGATAGAGCTTTTTATACAAGTAATGAATAAGTGTGACACTCAGCATTCATATTTATTGTGCAATTATGATTGTGAAATATGTGAATTATTATCCAGTCATAAGTTCTGTTTTAATAAAAAAATATAATTTTTACTTTGCAAGTCTCTATTAAAATGTTAGAACTGGTATTTACTCTTAGATAAATGCAGCACAGAGAGAAAGTCCATATTAATATCACGTGCAGTATAGCGAATGTCTTATTAGCAAACTGGAATATTATTTTGTAGCTGATATAATTAAAACAAAAACTACATGTATGAATATATATCACAATAATAACTTGAAATTATAAATATTTTTAAAATTGTCGCAGCTGGTTTACGTGGAATTAAAATTAGCGATAAGTTCTGAAAATAATTATCATAAGTGCTCTACAACGCTACCATATCAGTATCATGTGTCTTTTTGTTGTTAACAAAAATACATAACGTTCATTGTGAATGTTTTAATAATTAATCAATCTATCACCATTATTTAGTTACTAAGTAGACATAATGTTATATATAAACTATATTGCTAGTACCAGCGACTTAATTATAGGTGGATTTTAAATAAAACTATCTAATCGGATTATTTCGCGGATTTATTTTGATTTTGTGGTTCCCGACATTTCGGATGCTTTACAGCAATCATGGTCACGGTCTGTAACAAGTATATAACTCCTTTGAGACGTCTAAAACCTTAGTTTCTCCCGTGACCATGATTGCTGTAAAGCATTCGAACCGTCGGGAACCAAAAATTTAAATAAATCCGCGAAATAATCTGAAAACATAGTTTTATTTAAAATGACAATTATTCGAGTAAATCTAAGAAAGTATTATTCTAGATGGATTCTTTATAGTGTCGCAATATTTTTTTTGTATAGATTTAAGGTGGTTTAGTTTAGGACAGTGAAGCTTTTAGAACGGTTATTAGAGCGACCGCACACTGTAGACTTTCTGTCGGCTGATATTTATTAGGGTCCATCTCTGTATAGTAAAGTGTGAAATTTTCAGCCGATACCGGATATTATGATTCACGCACTTACATACAACAATAAAACTTACAAATTGCAGGCATATTATTATTCTGACAGTTGACATAATGCGTGATTGAACATACCTTTAAGAGGCGGATTAAAGTAAGCACACATGACTATATTATACTAGTACCTTTTATGGGAAATAGTAGTATTAAAATAAATAATATTTATAAAAATATATTAGCGTAATTATTCTTGTTTGTATCGATGGGTGTTAAAGGATGTCGACGTTTAATGTGTCAACTCGCACAAGAACATGTGCTCTTCTGAGAGTTGACGCAATAAGCAGCATTGTGGTACCTGCATCTAGTAAGTTCCTGCTACCTTACTATGTTCATTAGTAAGAGGCCACTTTTCCATCACCTTGGGACTCTACTTCATACGTCTTAGATATTTGTAGGCTACATCGTAACGTGACTTTCGCTTCGCAAGGCAATGTAGTTATATCAGTTTCTTCAATTATTTTACGAATATCTTAATTTATAATTTGATCTTAAAGAAAATCATAAATAAATAAATTAGTTGGGACATTAACACCCAGCATCATCTAGTTCCATGGTAAGCTACGAGGCTTGTGTTGTGGATACCAGATAGTTGATACACTACACATATATAACTTCTAAATACATACATATTATAAATATAAACACCCATGACTGAAGTACAAACATTCGTGCTCATCACGCAAATGAATGCTCCCAGCGATACTCAATCCCGCGACCTCTGGCACAGCAAGTAGGATCACTACAAACTGAGACAAACGTGTCGTCACTTCATCAATCATCTGCTATTAATTAACAAAAAAGCTCAAAGAATATCAGCTAAAGTAGCGGTGGGCCGTAGAATACTTTTTTTTGTTTGTTTAACCGATAGCTGGTAGAGCTACAGTAGCTCAGTAAACAATGTGCGAGACTACTAGATGGATAAACTAGTCGCTTTCTTATATATACAAGAAAGTGACTGACAGCAGCTGGATACCAAGAGCTGAAGATCTAGCTTAATAGCATACCATGGAAGAGATCTAGGTCTAATAGTAATTGAAAGCGGGCTGATATCGATGATGATAATCAGAAAGGTCCTCATAACCTCAAAAATTACTTGCTGACTAAATGTAAACTTAAGTCATCTATTATAATATTATAAAGAAGAAAAAATTTTTTTTATTTGTTTGCTTGTATCGAATAGGCTCCGAAGCTACTGATCCGATTTAGATCAAATTTGGTCAAAACATAGTTTGAGACCCTTTGAAGGACATAGGATAGTTTTTATCCCGGAAATCATCCATTAAGGGGGTGAAAATGGGGGTGAAAGTTTGTATGGAGAAGCAACCTAGGGACGAACTCGAGCGAAGTGAGGATGAGTCGCTATTGTCTAATATCGAGAAGACGTTAGATAGTTTCCCTCCATTTTAGGTCCACTGATTGTAGATCTAATATATAAATAAAAAATAGTTAATATGATTTGGTAAATAGGATATCATGGTGACAACTCACTAAATTTACCTATATTGATATAAAGAAATTAAAACGAGTTTTTAGAAAATTTATTCAAACATTCAATTTTCGATATTTTCAAATTGTATATTTACAATATGTTAATATTGCTTATCAATTGGAAGCAATCGATAAGTAGTCACAACAAATTAGGTTTTAATACACTTGCGGTTATAACTGACAAGTGTTGATGATTTGTAGCGATAGTTCGATCAAAAGTGATTAGAAAAATTTTAATTTTATTTATACAAGACCTTTATACCTACTAATATAGCTTTGAATAACGTATTGGCTTTATTATTATTTTTTCATTTTTTTAAATTATGGTACTTATTCATTGAGTATAAATAATAAAGAGTAAATCCAATTATATTAACTTGTGATATAATACTTTTATTGTAACTTATATTACTTCTTCGGAGAATATAAGTTCATGAATAATTTCGTCACTTTCATCTCAATGATAAATGAAGATTGTTTTAATTTTGCAATACCTAATAGCTCACGCTTCTGTTAATTAAACCTAAAAAGCTACCAATAGACTTTAAGAGTTAACGGCTGCTACTAAATTACATAGTGTACATACTATTTGTATATGTATGTATAGACTAAGGTCAAAGTATGTTTTTTATTATTAAAAAAAAGCTCGGGGGGTGTTTTAATTGTAATAAAAAGCAATAATTTTTTATCTGTCTGCAATGGGAAGAACGGGTTTTCAAGAGATACGCGATCCAGGAAAGGACGAATTTCAAGGATAGCTACTATTTAATAATATAGCTGAACCAAATTGAAACAGTGACTGCAGAAGGCGGACTTTTTATGATAATAGCTAGGTTAATAATACCACAGATATATTTCTGTTTTTTTTTTAAGAAAACCATGTAGAGACCCATTAAAAAACTATAGAAGGGACAACTTCATTTAATTAAAGAGCTTAAACAGTAAGTTTAATGACTTATTTTCCTCAATTTACAATATTATCTAACGCATAAACAATCGATTAGAGATGACTTGCGTACAATCATTTCGTTAAATAAAAGTCAAATATGTAGTATCGTAAGTCAACTTATATTACACTTACGTATTCAATAAATTAGTTTATAAATATGTACATTGCCTTATAAATAATGTTTTTTATTTTATGTATAAATAAAATATGTATGTATATATTTTATTATTAAAGTATAGACAAGGATGATACAAAAATAATATCCATTAGAGTTAAAATACATAAAAATCAAAACGAAACATTTATTATAATAGGAATTTTATGTTTTTAATTGCCTATTCAACTTAGGAGTTTGACAGAAAATTGGAAGCCATAACAGTTAGTGTGAAGTAAATTGGGAATCATAAAAATGATATTTTATATGTAATTAAAGTAAATTGCTCTAGAATTAAATAATTAGCGATCATCTGCCATTAATAAATGTCTATTATATTATGTTTAATAACGCACTTAAAAAAATAAATAATCATGTTAATTATACATTTTATGATCGATATTAGGGAAACTACAATATATACACGCCTTTTATAACAAATCGACTATTAACTATGTTGTTACTATATTTACAAAATCATTTATCATAAAATTTAGTTATGGCTATGATCTAAGTGAAGGAATTGCACTTATTCATTGAATATAATTATTATAGATTGACCTAACCTTTTAAAATCAGTTTCGCAGTTTTAACTAATTTTACGTACACTATGCACTTGAGAGGTTTAATTTTAAAAATTAAAAATTTTAAAACATGTATGTATAAAATTAAGTACTGGCACTATAAAACACCACAGTGTTTTTATACTTTTTTTTTTAAATTCACTTGTACTAGTCCGCGTATCCGATCGCAATTAAACTGTCAGTCTGGCCGCCATTTTAGGACGATGGCGGTTGTTCGTCACGCGCCACCGCGTGTTCTTGCGGTCAATGCGGCTGTAAAGAATTTAGTATATTCATATTGATGGCATGTTGATGTGTGGGGGGTCCTCCTAGGAAACTCAGCTGGGGCCTTGTGGCCGCGGCCATGGCTGCAAACAGCGGTGGGGCCCCGCCTCCCCCAAATAACGCAAACGATGAAGGAAGTAAAGGCCTCGCAGAGAGTCGTAACTTTTCTATCTCAGCCTCTTGCAAACGCTTTGCCTTTGCGCGACGATTTTGAAACCATATTTTAACCTGAAAAATAAAAGTTTGAATTTTTGCATTATTAAAAAACTAACTAAAATCTTTAGATGATAAAGAATGTTGCATGTAATAATTTGTTGTAATTTGTACATGACATGACCTAAAATATCATGGTTTACAATTACGCAGTACACAATGTATGTTTAAACATAATTTCCGTACATGGTAAATGTCGACTTTTAACATTTACCAAATTCAGAAGGGCAGTTTGACGATATACAGGCGGTAATTGTTAATACACGTTAAGTAAACGAGCTATGGCAGTGTAATAATATAAATTGCCAAGAATAGAAGAAGTCTGCTTTGGAAATGTGTGCATAAAACAAACAATGCCAATAGGTGTCAATTATAAAACTATACGATAAACTCTTGAACTTATATCCGGATTGCGATTTGAGCATCAATTATGTATGACCTTTTGACATTACTATCTTTATATAAGATATATAACAAATGGCTAAATAAAGGATTATTTGCGTTTTGTACATATTTAATAGATAATGAGATTACTAACCTGAGTCTCTGTAAGCCTCAAAGACGACGAGAACTCTGCCCTTTCCGCAATACTTAAATATTGTTTATCTCGAAATTTCTTTTCTAAAGCCAAGAGCTGTTGTGTAGTAAAAGGCGTTCGAGGTTTTCTATTCGGCTTGTGTTTTCGCAACTGACACCGTACTACGGGTGGACCGCTGGGAGCTCCTGCTAGGAAAAAATAAAAAAAATAATTAGAATAATCCTTTATTTCAATTAGTGGATAATATATACTAATTAAATTTTCACATATATTTGTTTATCGAATCCACAATATCCAATACACTAAGTTAATGTTTTTCTTTTTATTGATTATCTATAAATACAACAGTAAAAAGAGGTTTATATAAATAATACTTATATGTTAGATTCCAGGGTATGAAATTATCAAGATAAATATATCTTTTGATAATTATCGCGATAATTATCAGATAATTATCAAACAGGTATAAACTTAGCAATCATTGTGTAGGTATTGGTATTTGACTATCATATTTTTCGTTAGAATAAATTATACACTTTCAACAATCAAGTGAAATTAATGAGTGAAATATCATCCCCATCCTCCTCAACTGCGTTAACTCAGTTTGCTGATTGAGTTTTTTGAGCTAATTGAGAGTTCAGTTAGCTGATCGACAATTTGAAGAGTTACAAATTAAATATTTTGAATTATATTTATCAAAGATACCCATATTTATCATGATAATTTTCATGATAATTATCAATGATAATTATCATTTCGAACCCTATTAGATTCACATTCTAAGAAAACTCTTACTTGATGCATAAATATTTATGCATTATTCATTTTTGGATGTATCCATATAAGTTGTGTAATGTTGACTTTTTTCATTTTTCACAACGCCAATTTCATACACAGATCATAATATAATACTATACTAGTATTTCTTATATAAGGAAATAATATTTAGAAATATGAAAGTTTGTGAGGATAGATAGATATTTGTTTTCTTTCACACCAGAATGGTTGAATGGATCTGGATGAAATTTGGCACATTGATAAATTAGGTATAGTCTGAAATAGCACATAGGTTACTTTTTATTCCGGAAAAATGTACAGTTTTTGTGCCGTATAAAGAGTCCTTGCATGCATAGTAATAAAAAGCATGACATAAGCAATCATATTATAAGCAACCTGACGAGAAGTTTCCCTATAGAGAAAAACTCTTCGGAATTTATATTGATATTTGTTCCCATCGTATCGAATGTTTTACATTAAACATCGTCATAATAAATTAAAATAAAATGGAAAAACTCAAAAAATAAGATTCGGGTAAATCTAAGAAAGCATTACGAGCTTGGTTTACTCTAAATCTAATATCCGTAGGTAATAGATACAAATATTCACTCTTAATAGTTTTAGCCTTTACTTTGTACATGTAGAGATAACGACATGATCGTTAGGTTTGAGACATGATTGACTAATGACTTAGCCTCTTTTTCAGTTAATTCTATGCAATATGCATAGAAATCACGGGGTTTGCTGTCATTTACATACTAAGTTACAATTTATATACCATTAATTTATACGAACCGAGGTAGCGGTACAATGAGGCGGAACGATATTTTACAACTATCGTAGGGTTTGATAAAAATTTTTGTAAGTTAATCAATTACACAACCTAAAGCATGTTTTTGATAAAACATTGCATACATTAACCGCATGGAGTTATCGAGAACAGAAGTTGTCAAATAAATTCTTATTTAAAAGATAAAATCCGGATATAAAGATATTGGTAACTAACTGTGCATCCAGAAATAGAATATCTTTATCGAAATGAAAAAATCGTTTATTGACTTGGGAGGCATTTAAGGCTAAGTTCACATGTAACGTGCGTTAACGCACGTCACCTTAGAAAGAGTTCAGATAACAAGCGCGTTGCGAGTGCTCGTCAAGTCTGTTTCGCTTGTCTGGCCTTTATTTTGTGGTTATATTACAAAAACATTATGAAAAAAGAAAACGGACACAGGGTTCGCCAATCTTTGAAAAATAGACCCAGTTTGTTTGCGACATTATATCCAAATTTTGAATCATAGTAAAAGAGACAATGAATTTAAATTCTTTTGTTACTTTAGAATGTCTATAAAATCATTCGAAATTTGCTTTAACTTATCCAATGGAAGCGCGCGCTCAACTGAACAGCAAATGGACGTTACACGTCTAACAAAGCGTGCGTCAACGCAAAATCGCCTGCGTCTAGACTCTAGAGACTTTTTCTCTGAGCTCTCGAGATGTGATCGGTGTAAGTAAATACCAATATGTCTAGACGCGCGATTTAAAAACGCGCGTCAAAATTTTACTATCTGAACGTAGTCTAATATTTTGCCGTACACTTGGTGTTATTAGTCATTATTATGTGTTATTAAATTGATAAGGGGTCTGTTAAGCTATAACTACTAATTTTTTAGCGGTTTTATATAATGAAAAAAAAAGATATTAACATTTGTTAATTGCAATTCATTTCGATTTGTTAAAGCAAACTTTTTATTTGATGCCAACATAACAATTATTTTTTGTTAAGTAATATTTGAGAGGTAAATAAAAATGCGTATTACAAAATAATTAATGTATGAACAAGTTACATATATTCGAGTAAGCACAAGCAAGAACGCTATCTTCTTGTTTTAAGGGAAAATCGATTCAGTTTGAGCAATAAACCTGTTAAAGAGTAATTAACGTTAAATACGTACAGAATAACATAATATTAATGATATATTTAGTGACACAATCTACTGATACATCAACACGAACACGAGTATTTATTTCTTGAACTTTGTGCTTACAAACCTAAATGTTCAAAGTAAATTCACAATAAACTTTTATATGTATGTATTTCTTTGTACTTTGTTTTGACCAAAATCAAAATAAAACCGCGAAAAAATCTACAAAAAGAGTTTTATTTAAAATATCAAATATTTGCGTATATCTAAGAAAGTATTATTATTTGTAAAAATAGTTATAGTTAAAAAAAAACTAAAAACAATCGCTTTTGATCAAGTGTGGGGCTCGTCAAAAGGAAGGAAATAAGCTGACGGTCAACATCCTCCTCGTGGTTCCATCATTAGACTAATACGATGGTATTAAGATATTATGTGTTCATCGAGCTTTCACAGGCATATTTGTTTCAAATAGACACAAAAATTAACAATAGGTTCATAATTAAATTCAACGATGACTGTTCATCTATACATATTATAATAGAATTCTAAGTCGAATCTGTACATTAAATATTTTTTGGAAAATCTTATTGAAATAGTCATTATTATCGATATAGAGGCCGAATCTATAGTTTTTAGAATTTCTGTCTATCTGTCTGGGAACGCATCATGGAATAACCACTGGAGGGATTTTGATGAAATTTGGTATGATGATAGCTGATTATTTGGGTCAACATTTAGGATACTTTTTAGTGCTGGAAAATATCTCTCTAAGAAATCTATAGGTACTAAACGTTAAAACGTAAGTAGAGCGTAGGTACATGAGTCGCTAGTCGTATATATGACTCAGACTAGACGAGTCATTTTATTAATCACAAGTTTGAAAATATGATTATCAACATTAAATACTTACTGCCATCATTTATTACATATTGTAAATTAATTTTGACTGCCGCAATGCCAGCGGGGGGCTAAAAACTTTTTTATTATTCTATGATTGATTTATTTCCAACCATTCATAAAAAACAAACTTTATTGACTCCTTATCACTTTAAGATATATAATATTACACTTATGTTAATATTTTAAAACTATAGAGATTATTTGTTTTTTTTAACAATTTTGATCGCAATTTGGGGAATTACCTGTCAGAAAAAATCTTTTTGCTTTTTATAGCTAGCTCTTTTTATTGGCGAAAGTTAAAGGCTATCAGACTACGACATTTAGGACTGGAATAATTATGTATAAAGAAATTATTTTCATCATAATTATTATAGCATATCTTTCTCTAATGAAAACATAAGGTTTCTAAAATAATTATATATTTGTTGATAAATAAGATATACCCACTAGGTTGCAATTACAATTCCCTTATGTTCTTTATAGTCCAGTCAAATAAGGATTTAACCTTGGAACAAAGGACAATAAGCTATAAAATTGCATTTTTGTTTACTGTTTAGTGTTTACCCCTGTTTTAACTCCTTTCTTTGTAATATTAAAGTTTTTAAGATATAAAAAATGTAACCACTTTAATAGCTTTTTAAATATTCATATTAAGCATACAAAATTAAAGCAAATCTAAATAAGTATATTCAAATGGGATCTTTGACATGGGTATAATTAAATGGACTGATCAATATTCATTTAGGGCTAAGTAATTTTGAATAAATTTATGTCATTACAGAAGACGCATATTTTTGTTACATTCACGGTAAGTTTTAAAAATAACAACTGTTTGTTTATAGTTTTAAGTTTTCACTTCTGTCGGCAGTCTTCTTCTTCTTCTTCTCCCTTCCCATTTCCCAATCACTTGGGGTCGGCGCAGTACATCTTCTGAACTGCTGAAAGGATTTGGCAAAAGTTTTACAACCGGCCGCCTGCCTGACGTCAATCCTTCTTGTCGGCAGTCCTCATGACTGCTTTTTTTAAATAATATCTGTTAAGTTTCATCCTATTTTGCTAAATATACCTTTAAATTTAATTTGGTGCAGAACATTTTTAACATATTAATTAATGATCTCTACGGTCTTTGATCACGTATTAGCTATATGAAATTAAGTACTTAAATATTCCAAAAATCGATAAAAAATTTGGTTTCTGTGTGTGACAATAAACAAAGTAGACTTTAGTGTCAATAGCCATCATATCATTAGAATATTAAGCATATTCATTGTGGCGTGAAATGACGTTTAGGTCGTCCATTGTCCTTCTTCCGGTCTGCAAATAACCGATTATCGGATTAATCGATCGATTTAACTATACACAATATATCGATAATCCAAGGCCGAGCCCAGCGTTAAAAATGTCTGAATATTTTTTTAAATAAGTACTTTTATGGACTAGAATAATAATAATATATTACTTTAACAGATTACATTAATTAAATAAATTTAATAAAAAGCCTTATTCCAGTTAAAGCTAAGTAAAGCTAAGGAAGTAAATTATCTATACCTACATATAATAAAATTGTAACTAAACCTTATCTGTTCATT